TCCCGAAGATTCTTCCGTGTGGATCTGCCTTCCTCAGGACACAGAGGCTGAGCATGAATGGCCCAGCTCAGGGGCAGGTGTTGCATTAGTTCCAAAAAGGCCTTAACTCCAGCTTGCCCAGTGCTCTTTTGTGTGTGTGTGTGTGTGTGTGTGTGTGTGTGCGCGCGTATGTGTGTATATGTCTGTGTTTGTGCCTGCATGTATGTGCATGTGTTGTGCATGCGCATGTCTGTGACTCAGAACGAGTGAGATGAGCTTTGGAACAGACTTGGGCATCTTTCTCACTCATCCCCCCCTTCCCCTTTGTCCGCTTATTTTGAAGCTTGGATCCGAGTCCTGGCTCTGGGGTTTACCTGGTCTCTGCCTCACTGCAGCCAGGGCTCCGTGGGGAGCAGCTCGGGTGCCTAGAGCACAGCTGCCCGGGGGCTAGAGGGGGGCTGACGCTTGCCCGGCAGTGCAGGGACCTACGCCATCCCTGAGGGGAGCCAAAGTTGGGGCTAAGATGCTGAGAGACAAAGAGAATGAGAATATGGGGAAGGCTTCCCATTTCGTGTGTTAACCTTAACACAGCGCCAAGCAGAAGCCCTTGGTGCAGGGCCTGGGCACTGGGCTCTTGAGCCTAGTCACTGGTTCCTGGGTCGGTAACTCCAGACCCTGGAAGGTTCTCAGACCCCGAGGGGGGATCAGGATGCCTGGCTCACTTTTGGGCAAAGACCACCAGAGGAAAGCCTGGGTGCTGCAGAGAATGGGGTTGGTGATTCAGGACTCCAGCTGCTGGGAGTGAAGAGCAGACAGTGAAACACCATTAAGTTTGGGCACCTTTCAGAGCAGGTGAAGAGCGGAGTTTCTGAACACTCTTTTGCTCGAGGATTTTTTTCCCTTAAAATAAATCTCCATGGAATTATTTTTGGTGCATGTAAGGGTGATAATTTTAATGTTCAAGCAAATTTCAAAGTAAGCTCTATGGTTTTTCGAAGGGAAGCTGTTACATTTGGGGTGGACAGTCTTTGTTGTGGAAGGCTGTTGGCATATTAGGGGACATCCAGCAGCCCTGGCCCTCCCAGTCATCATGATAACCCAAAAGTGCCCCCCCCCAATACCCCTGGAGGGCAGTGCGGTCCTCAATTTAAGAGGCTCACCTCTAACTGCATCTGATAATATATATCTAGGACTTATTCAGCACCTACTGTGTGCAGGCAGTGTTCTAAACGTCACCCTGATCTTCACAAACCAGTACTGTTGACTACTTTTACCCTCCTGTTACCCACACTGGACAGATGAGGAAATCAAAGCACTAAGAGATTACAGCACCCAGAGCTGGGACTCCAACTCCAGCAGGCTCACCTCAGACTCCCAGCTTCCCTGCTGCCCCTCACTGTTCTGGGCCATCTACCTTAGATGCCGTCTGTGTTTTCAGTTGTGTGTATGTTTTGTCGGAGTGTGTTTAGTCTTTAAAAATCCTTAATTCTGAAAAGTGAGATGTTTCTTTGGGTTAACAAGTCACCACTTTACCTTTCTGGAAGGTTCTTCCTGTGGACACGCTTGGGGGTTGCTGCATGGAACCACTTCTCAGGTGCGTTTGCATGTGTCTTGGTAAAGATGCGTGTCACGGGGACCAAGGCCCCATAAGGAAACAGTGATTATCTGCTTTGTTTCTCCCAAGTGTGTCAACACAGTAAGTCAGTATGATTAGCTGCTTTAACTCGAGGTGTCAGGTAGCGTTCCTTCGTCTCTTTGCCTAATGGTGATATGGAAGCTAAGGAGCTTAAAAACGATGAGCTCTCAGGCCTGGTCGTGACCTGTGGTTCTGGAGTCAGCCCTTGGTTGGAGGCTCAGCCCTGCCTTTCACAGCCACTGCATTTGGGGCAGGCCACTCAGCCTCCCAAGTCTGTCCCCTCATCTGTGAGTTGAGGAAGGGAAGGGGACTCCCCTCGTGGGCTGTGGTGCAGCTGACGGAGAGGAGAGCGCCGGCACGCTGCCCTGGGAGCTGCCCGTCGTGCTGCTGGAGCCCCAGCCCCGGGACCCAGGGCTCTCTCGGCAGACAGCGCCCTTTCTCCCCACACGTCCTCACGGGAAGTTCCGCTGGCGGGAAGGCCCGCAGTAAGACTTCAGCTTTCCGGCGGGGCTGGGATGGTGTGGGTCAGACAAGGGCTGGGCCCGGACACTTGTGTCTCATCGAGGTCCTTCTCCACATCTGGACGAGCGCCGATGGGGCCGCGTCTGCTAGGGGCCCAGACTAATAGCTCGGCGTGATTGCTCAAAGGGAAGGGCTCTGGCTTGCCTCTGGTAATTTTGTTCATGTGTATTATAAGCCTTTACAATTTTTACTTTATAATAAATGCAACAAATCTTTACTTAAGATTTCTCATCACTTGGAGTTGAAACAACAAGTCCATTTTGAGCCTTATTCAGAGAATTTTAGTTCCAGGAGCACCTAGAGTTTTCTCTTGTTATCAGGTGCTTTCAAAAATTAGGCGGGTCTATGGCGGGGACCTGAAGAGCCTTCTCCCTCTTGCCAGGTGCCTCCAGAAGTCACAGAGAGGTTTTGTTGCTCGGGGTGTGTGTGCGCGTGTGCGTGTGTGTCTGTGCGTGTGTGTGTGCGTGCGCGCGCGCGTGTGTGCGTGCGTGTGTGTGTTTTCAAAGCATACTTCTGATGAAACGCCCTCTGTAACTAAAAGCGAACTGCTGATGTGCGCATGGTGGTAGCTCCTGACCTTCAGCCTGGTAACGGCTGGAGTGACGCCACCGTAATGCCCTGTTGGAACCATCTTTTAAAGTCATCGTGATGCTTAGTCTGCTTATAGGTCTTTGAAGAGAGAAGTAATAGGTAGATGGTCTCAAAGATTTTCCCTTTTTCCTTTTTTGATATACGTTTCCCAAGGAGAAGTTTTGACTTGCGTGTCAGCCTTAAGATGTTCTAAGTTACTAGTGGAAAACGTACATGTACTTAAACTGCCCAAGGATTACTTTGCTGAAATTCTCAATTCTCATTTTATGAAAGAAAAAGCTATTTTTATGACGATTCCAGTTCCTCGGGCCTGGTACCTGAGGCCAGCTAAACTCTGAGGTTTTAGACTTTTATGGAGCACGTGGCCTTGTGGCTGTGGGAGGGCCCCCTCTCCTGGGGTGGGGCTGTCTTCTCCCGAGTCAGACGTCTTTATTGCTGGGCAGAGCTTGGGAAGAGGTGTGCAAGCTGGGCCTTCTCAGCTGTCACCTGCCCATCTACTGGGACAGGGCCGTGGGTGACCCTCTACCGGGACAGGGCCGTGGGTGACCGTCTACCAGGACAGGGCCGTGGGTGACCCTCTACCAGGACAGGGCCGTGGGTGACCCTCTACCAGGACAGGGCCGTGGGTGATCCTCTACCAGAACAGGGCCGTGGGTGACCCTCTACCAGGACAGGGCTGCGGGTGACCTTCTACCAGGACAGGGCCGTGGGTGGCCCTTTTCTTCCCTCTCTCACTGTTTTGCATTTTTCCTTGGTTTTCATTGTCAGTTGTCTGAACTCTACATAAGTGTCCCCATGAAAACAGGCTACCAAGAGAAGTTCAGTCAACTTGCTCCAAAGATGTGTCTTCAAAATTAGAATTGCCATTATCTTAACAAAATAGGAGCCACAGATTTCAGTACCAGATTTCTTGGTGTCTCTTCCAAGCTATGGTGTTTCTTGTTTACTAGATATTGTACATTTTTATTTGTTATTATTAGAAAAGATACAGTAAGCTCTTCAATACAGGAGTGATGTATTGTGAGAGCTTTGTGTGTGTTTTTAAACTATAAATGAGAAAGAAATTGTAGTTTTGAAATACATTATTGTTGTGATAAAAGTAATAATAGCTCATTGACAGTCTTGAAGAATGGTATTAGGGAGGGGCACCCAATCAATCAGTATTGTATTCTGTGTGAAAGAGAAGTTGTGAGGGTCTTTATCGATGACTTCAATACTCACGTGTTGGAGGACGTGAAATGAAATTCTCCTCTTTATAAGCACTTAAGAATTTCATCAGGGAAGACAGAAATTCATGATCAAACTGAAAAATTTTTGATCTCTTCATGGTTTTATCACAGAGATGATGTGATTTTTGTCTTTTGTTATTCAAATATGTATCAGTTAAGAAGGTTTTGGCTGCAGGTAACAGGACACTGTGGCTCACATAGGCTGAAACAGAAGGCTGTTATCTGACATCTCAGGCCTCGTGGGTACTTCAGGGCTGTGACCTCCCCACCTCCCGCCCCACACTGCTCTCAGCTCTGCCCTCCCAGGAGGTGGCAGCGAAAGACGTGGGCATCCTCTCCAAAATCACACTGTCCACCTGTGCCTCTTCAGACCCAGTGCCCAGCAGGCCCCCTTGTGTCTCTGTGGCCAGAATTGGTCAGCTCTCCATGCCTCGGGCTCTGGGAGAACCTGTCAGCAGTGTCTCAGCTCCAGCTGCCTTGGCGAAACACCACAGCTGGGGTCTTACATGACAGAAATGTTGATTTCTCACAGTTCTGGGGGCCAGAGGTCTGAGATCATGGTGCAGGTGAGGACTCTGTTCCTGACTTGCAGATGGCTTCTTTCCCACTGTGTGTTCACATGGCAGCAAGAGAGAGACAGAGATATAGAAACAAAGACAGAGATATATAGGGAGAGAGACAGAGAAATAGACAGGGAGAGACAGAGACATACATATAGAGAGAGACAGAGCTCAGGAAACTCTGGTGTCAGTCTGTACTGGGCACTAATCCCATCATGGGGCCCCACCCTCCTGCCCTCATTGAACCCTAATCACTTCCCAGATCATCCCCCCAACACCAGGTGACTTTGGGAAAGGATACAGACATTCAGGCCACAGCAGAGTGGTAGCCTGGTACTGCACCATGTCATTACAGAACTGTTGACAACACTGCTGGTGACAAAGGGCCGGGCAGAGGCTTTGCTGAGGGCCATGTGTAAGAGCTCTTGGCCTCAAGGTGGGACTCTCACACATCATGTAATGCTTGACCCCCTTCTTCCTCAGTGTCGCGTGGGAGCCCGCGGGAGACGGGAAGAGAGTCATCTCGTTGGCTGACAACCACATCCTGCTGTGGGATTTGCAGGAAAGCTCCAGCCAGGCTGTGGTAAGTAACAGGAATTACACAGTTTTGGTTTTTTGTATTTTTTTAATTTGACCTTTCAGCCAAATTCAGAATACACTTCTTGATCATATATGTTTAGAATTTTGACATTGTTTGTGAAATAATTAATGAACAGACTGAATCATCAGTCAAAGAATTGAGTGGTTGTCTCTTTCAGGCAAAAGCTGTTTGGGATTCAGGCCTCAGGGCCATGTACAAATAGGACACAGAACCCTGGACATTGACAAAACTCCCCACTTTGGCCATAATTTGTCCAAAAGAGTTAGCAGGATATCCAAAATTATAGTCTTCTGTTTCAAGTATAAGTCTTTTTAATGAATGGATTTTCAATGTGTATTTGGTTAAAATCACCTTTCAGGTAGGAGCAGTCATGTAGGCAAATTTCCTGGTTGTGAAAATAATGGTTGACTGTGACCCAGTGACCTTTCAGCCTGCCCTCCTATCATTCACGTGTGTGCACGGTCCTGAGGGTGTGGCCGTCAGGCACGTCAGCCATCTGTCCACGGGGGCGCTGGAGCCCTTGCCTGCACACAGGCTGTCTCTCCATCCCATCCCCACCCATCCTGTCACCCTCAGATCCTGCCACCGAGGCCGAGAGTAGCTGTCTCCGCAAGTTCCCAACCAGAAGGTTACGTCTCTCTCAATAGGCCTGTTCGTTCCCAGACCTGTTTAATATTTAGCAGCAACCTTCTTGGGAACCAGTGTGGCTTTCAAATATTCATCACTTTGAATGCTTTGTCCTTCATAGAGTAAATACTCTGCCAATTGGTATATTTTCATATATGATCCCTTAAAGTTTCCTCTTATAAAATGTGTTTTTTACATGCATTCATAATTTCATTGCATTTGCATGTCAAAGTGACAACTTTAGAGAGAAAACCAAGACATTTGAAATGAAAGCTTCTAATGCCACCCACTCAGTTGGGCCTGGGGCCCAACTGCCACGGGCCCATGGACGGTGTCTCTTGGACAGGTTTCTGTAGTGAGCTTGCATCTCACCTTATCCACTTGTTCCCGGGATGCGTGGTCAGCACTTTCCCCTCGTGGTACCCACAGTGTTCGTAAAGCCTGTCTTCACCCTCTGGGTGAAGAGATGCGTGAGTGATGGTTTATCACTGTCGATACGTGACCCAGAAGGCAGACCCTTCACAGTATGGGGTGTCCTGTGTGAGTCTTAAAGCTGCATTGTCAGAAGGGTGTCTCCCAGGCTTCAATGTGAACTTAAGAGTATAATACTTCAGGAAAGAAATCACTATTTTTATTAAAATTAAAAAAAGATAAAGACACATCTGTGTATCATGGAGTAGAACACAAATTTCACCCAGACTTTCAAGCTCGAGCAGGGAACTCGAAGGAAACTGGCTGCCTCCGATTGTCCTTGGGCCCCCCGCAGGTCTGGGCAGACACTTGTACAGTCCCCCACCTTCCAGGGGGACTTGCGAGGCCGTCTGGGCCGGAGTCCAGGGGCCCCTCCCGTCCCCTAACTCCAGCCTACCTCTCGGTGGGGTGTTCCTCCAGACTGCACTTGAGGACAGAAAGGGACAGTGGTTTCCTATGAAAGTGCCGGGGCTTGAGGCAGGCTCGGGGCTGGGAGCCTGGGCCTGGTCCAGAGGATGCTTGGGGGCTGGCTGAGTGGCTGCCGCCCCGCCCAGCAGGAGGCACCAAGGGGAGGCGGTGGCGTTAGAATTCAGTGGCTCCCAGGGCCCTGACTTTGCGGGCCCCGTCCTGTCATCAAAGCGTGAACACCTCTTCAGACCCTCAGTCATCTCAAAATGATTTTATGGTGGGGTGATTAATCTGTAACTTATTTTCTGCAGAGACCAATTTCGTTTTCTCTCCCCCTTTTTTATCTGCTGTCAGCAGTTCTGTCGATACCACTGTGCGACCCTTGGCTGGAGTGTTTAATACTGCAACCTTCCTATCGATTTCGACTGTCTTCGTACCCGGCTCCTCAATATTTTTTCTTATTGTTTGAGGATATTGCCTTCTGCGGTGAATCTAATCTTATGCTCACTGCATCATTACCTTTTGCAATTAAATTGGAGGCTCTCTGCCATTTATAGTCGTTAGTGGAGCCCAGGGGAGGCCTGGGGCGGAGGTTCCATGGGGTCCTGGACCCCGATGAGGGCCAAGGCGGAGCCCCCCTGTTTGGGTCTGTGCGCGTGCACCTCTGGGTTCTAGTTCCTTTCACTGGCTGTGGAAAGAAGCAGCTTCTCCTGAGGTGCACGGACGGCAGAGCGGGAGGAAGGGGGCCCAGTGTCACCCACTCAAGGTGCAGGCCTGGGGGCAGTTGCCCACAGGAGCACTTCTTTGAAGGGAGAGAACGGGCTTCAAGGACACCGTGTGTTTTCAGAAATTTCTAGTCCAAGGTTTACAGTGTACCAGAGGAGGCCCAAGCACAGGCAGATGCGGGAGCAGGTGGTGACCAGAGAATCATTCCATGCAGCCGTGCCCACTGAGCCCGGAGCACAGAACGTGCTTGCTGTCTGGGGACAGAGCACTGGGCGCAGGCTGAGCCCCTTGGGACCAGGGCAGAGGCGGGTCGGGCCTGGTGGTGCGGCCCGGGCTCCCCGCTTCCTCACCCGTGGCCCTACCTTCCCCGGCTTCCTGGGCTCCGAGTGTGGCCACAGAGAGGAGGGAGGCTTGCTCAGCGGGCCCCTGGTCAGACCCTGTGCGGCACGGTCCTGGCAGGCTGGGTGCCCTCAGCGCAGCCAAGGCCGCATGGCCCGGCCTGGGGGCTCGTCTCTGCCTCCGCCCTGATGGTTGCAGGACACGCCCATCCTCCGGATGCCCCAGGACCAGGGCCTCACTCCCACCCCCCAGACAGCAGGGGTCTGGACAGCAGCTCTAGATGAGGGTGCGTTTCTGTCACTCAAGCCCCTGGTCCCGTTGGGGAAGCAGGTCCTGGTGTCGCCTCCCTTCTTATTTGCAGGCCTGAGGTTTTTCTTTTTTCAACAGACTTTTATCTTTTAGAGCAGCTTTAGGTTCACAGCACATTTGAGGGGAAAGTGCAGGGATTCCCCATCCCTCCCTGCACAGCCACCGGCAGACAGGGCAGTTACTACAGTGACAATCCCACACTGACCTGTGGCCGTGCGTCTGCGGATTTGGACACGTGTGCTGACACGTATCCACCATTACAGATTCATACAGGGTGTCTTCACTGCCCTAAAAACCCTCTGCTCCACTAGCCCTCCCTCCTTCTAAGCCTGTGGCAACCACTGATCTTTTTACTGCGCCTGCAGTTCTGCCTCTTGCAGAGTGTCCTAGAGCTGGGCTCATACAGGGTGTAGCTTTTACGGGCCAGCTTCTTTCTCCAGTCATTACGTGTAAGGTTCCTCCGTGGCTTTTCGTGGCCTGACAGTTCGTGTGTTTTTAGCGCCGAGAGATATTCCATTGTCTGAAACTCTTCTGCATTTTGATAAAGTTCAGTGTATGAGTTTTACAGATTGTGCCTTGGGTGTCAGGTCTGAGGACTCTGTGAACAGCCTTGGACCTTGAAGCTTTTCTCCTGTTTTCCCTAAGGGTTTACAGTTTGCATTTTACATTTCAGCCATGGTCCACCATGAATCGGTGTTGGTAGACAATGCCTGTACCCTCTCTGGGGGCTCAGGCGAGGACAGAGTCTTGGGGCCTTCGCTGTCCTGGGTGGGGGTGTCTGTCTGGAGCAGAGCAGTTGTCGAGAAGTTTCCTGTCTCTCCGGGCTGCCCTTCCTGGCCCCTGGGCTGCAGGGAGCAGCGTTCCTGGAGCTTTGGGGGTCTGTCCCCAGGGGTGTTTCTGGGTTGGGGCCCATGCGGGAGAGAAAACACAGACCCTCGACACTGTGTGTTCCTCGTGCCCCAGGGCCCTCCCTGGTCAGCCTGTTCCCCACCTGTGTTTGTTCTGTGTATAAAGTCCCAGGTTTTTGCAGCACTTGGTGGGAGCTGTAAAAAGAAAAGTGCATCCGCCCCACCCTCCCAGCCGCAGACGTGGCTGAAGGGAATTTGAAGATCACAGCCCTCCTCTGGGCCCCTCACTTCCCTCCCTGATACCTGTGATGCCCGAGGGCGTGACAGCTCTTGCCTCTAATGAGAGAGGAAAGCCCTGCCGCCCCAGGTGCCTCGGGGGCATCGCTGGCTGGGGGCAGACGAGGGCAGACGAGGGGCTGCGGGGGCTCCCTGGACCCGCTGTGCAGGCGTAGCCAGGACTCACTGAGGGTGCAACAGCCCGCCCTTGCTCACTCATTTTAAAGTAGCTCCTTTAAAGAGAGGCACAGACCGCGGATCCTGTAATCTGACCCCTCGCTTCACAGGTGAGAAGTGTGAGGCCCAGGAAGCAAGGGACTTTCTGAAGGTGGCCTGGGTGACAGATGTGGGTCTGCAGTTCAGGCCCGCTCTGTCCCGTCGTCCCACAGAGACGTGTACTGAGGACCTCTCGTGCACATGCGCCCAGCCGCCCCTCCTGCAGAGCTTGCGCTTGGAATCTGTGTGTCTTGGATGGGCAGCAGCATTTTGTCCTGTGAACGTGGATTAGATTTTGGGAAACAGTCGAAAGTTATTTGGAGCAAAATCTAGTAAATAAGATAGTTAAGCAAGCTTTATAATGTAAAGCTAGTTAGTGGAAACCATGTTCAAACTCTCTGAAAACTGGTTTTCTTCCTTCCTTATTTTTTTTTTTCATTTTTATTGGAGTAGAGTTGATTTACAATGTTGTGTTAGTTACAGGTGTACAGAAAAGTGAATCAGCTACACATATATCTACTCTTCTAAAAATTTCTTTAGATTCTCCTTCCATATAGGCCATTACAGAGTATTGAGTAGAGTTCCCTGTGCTACACAGGAGGTACTTATTAGTTATCTTTTTTTTTTTTTATTGGGGTACAGTTGCTGTACAATGTTGTGTTAGTTTCTGCTGTACAATGAAGTGAATCAGCTATATGTATACGTATATCTCCTCCCTCTTGAACCTCCCTCCCCTCCCATCCCGCCCATGTAGGTCATCAC